CTTCCTTCCTTCCTTCCTTCCTTCCTTCCTTCCTTCCTTCCTTCCTTCCTTCCTGATATATACTTTTCCCCCTGAATTCAAGTGCTGGTAATATTTTAAAAATACAACTTCCCAAACATACACTTTTTGGGAATGTATGATAGCATGCACTTTTGGAACAGTTTTTAAGCAAAGCATGTCACTTGTTAATGCACTTTGAATGTAGTGGTTGATTGCTTTTACATTCTTAACCTGAATTGCATGAATATCATTTAATTAGTGAAAAGCATCTCTCAGAATTCTGATTAGTGCTTATGCATTAGTATGACTTGAGAGTAAGATTATTGCAAGCAACTTTTTATTGCTTTTCCAGATCCTTCTCTCACAGTAAGAGCTGATATCATTGGAAGATACTCTAATCGACTGTATACTTATGAGCCTCAAGACCTACCTGTGTGTAAGTTTTTTCCACAATGGGTTGCATTGTTCATAATGTGAATATTTACAGGAGTGTTCTCCCAGAAGTATATTAAATGCATGGAGAGGAAATTAAGTAGCACTACTAGGCCTTGCTGAGATACATATACAAAGGTTTAATTCAATATCATGTCAGGATAATGAAAAAGCCACATAAACTAGACATTTTGGTCTTCATTTCCATCAGCTCCTAATAATGGGCATGGGGACCAGGGAATGTGGCAGAACTGGCATTGTGGTTTTATTGGGTGTTATTGTTGGATATGATTACCTCAGCTATGAATTTTATGATTTTTTAATATGCTTTTATATTATTCTTGTTTTTTAAATTGTTGTATTGTTCCTTTTTCTTGTTTTCATATTTGCTTTAATTGTTTGTAAGCCATCCAGAGTCATATATATGAGATTGGCTATATAAATTTGAATAATGAATGAATGAATGAATGAATGAATGAATGAATGGAATGAATAAATAAACAAACTTAACGAACGGCAAGGACTGGAAGGCGTCAGGCTCAAGCCAATCAAGCATGAATGCTGTGGCAGGGTTTGACCAAGTCCCATCAGACTCCCTGC